TTAGGGGCCTTTCCATTTTTCAAGCATTTCATAGCTTGTGTAATTTCATCTACAGAGAGAGTAACATCTGTTCCTTGCCGTTCTACCGGCATGTCTTCCTGCGGTTTCACAAAGTACTTTCGTCATTGCCGAAGCATGTTGTCGTCGTTGACGAGAGCGCTCGGAGGCAGCGGATGATCTGTCAGAATTCCTTGTTTGCCGTCTGAAAATTCGACTCCAACTTGGCAATCAATTGACATTTCGAAAGGTGATTCTTCAAGTTAAATCATGAAAAATGATAAAACACGTTTTGAAAGGTTTTCAACATGTGGCATTGTGATTTAGTAAAACATCAGTGCTTCACAAGATGTTCAGTGAAAAAGTTGTGCCTCACTCGTAGTGGCTGGTATCAGAAAAAAACCAGTCGGGATAAATGGGAATTGAATGAGCAGTAGTAGACGTGTGCACTGTTTTTTGTTCTTGAGCGTGTAAAGCTAATAGGAGGGAACCCCTATAGTACCTCTCCTATAGTAAGAGGGGTTCATAGGATAAGATAATCGGAAATCCAGGGTAACCTTTATATGCCTTCATAAATAGATGTTCAGAAAACAGCCACTCAAACGAAACGCGATTGAAGAAACCGTAGAGCGGTAATTAATAATGGACTAATTAAATGTTCTATTTGTGACCCACGACAGATGAGCCATACGGACTGTAGTAGACGACTCAAACAATGAGCATTTCAAGTTGGTATTGCGCTACATACTCAATGATAGAACGCAGGTATAATCATAATCGAAATTTATAGCTTGTCATGCGACAGATAATTCAACTATTCCTATTAGCTGTAAATGAAAATCAAGTATATGGATTAAATTTACAGAAAAAGAAACATATATTAATCTTGAAGGTCTTCCATGAATTATGAGCGTTGTTCAACAGTGTGACAGCTGAGTATTCGAATCATGAATGGAGTCAATGAAAACTTTTATTTGTGGTTTCTGCAAGACGCCTCGAAACTGCGTTCTGGTGGCTTTATGTCTTGAAACGGTCTTCCCTCACTGTGCAATTCATTAAATGAGGCATTTGTGTTCATCCGATATAAACGCGGGATATATTGGGACAGTCTACACTGGCAACTCTCCGTAACTGCATCGCCTATCACCGTAACCTAAGTACACATTAATTATCGCGGTCTATTACGTATTGGCGCAGAGCACTAGCTGTTGCCAGCTCTCGGTTTTGGGGTCTCGTCTCATTAAAAATGTGTAACTGATCAGTAGTCAGCTGCATGAACTGTAGGATTAGGCCCATTTATTTAATACATCATGGTTAGCACTTTATGAGAGAAGTACGGTGCCGTTGTCAAAATGATGAATTTCTTATTAATATTCCGTTATGGCAACGTACGATGTAAATACCTTAACATGCAGTCCGCAGTCGTGAGGTTGAATTAATGTCATCGGCAGACTCTCACCCTCAAAATGGTACCAATTATTTGACTTCGCCCTTCATATTGCTTTTCAGTGGAAAGTTCTGAGTAGAATCCGATGCCGTTCAAAACCTGGAATGCGAAGAACGTGCATGTTCTTCACCTTATTTTATGATTTTATCCAGAAAAGCGTAGTCACTGAGTCAGAGAACAGTCGTTTCGTCGCCATTGGAGTTTGTATAACTGCAGGTGCTCATCTGCATAAGTTAATTTAATCTCATATGTGATGCATTCCTCGAAAGCTCTCTATGAATGCAATATAAAACATTCGCCTCAAGTTTCAATTTAAACCTTGTTCTCAAACTGACAGAACATTTCACAGTGTGACGGAAGTAAAAAAATGTTTATGCGATTTTCAAATGTGTGTGCATGAAAATCAACCGAGTCAAGATAAGATTTGCAACTCAGAAACACGGCCCTGCATCCCATGTAATGAGAGCGCCATGGAACCGTATCCTGCTAAGATCGCCCCTATGCGACTATAGAAAAGTTAAGAAATTGCATTGCTGGATCCATTTCAGTAGCCCTCCCTGTTCGTTTTACGGTTTGAACTTGAGGGAACCGAAGTCATGCTGAACCGTGTCTCTGATTGGAAGAATGCCAGTTCGTTCCGACCGACTGCCCGAGTTTGATTCGTAAATCTGTCGAGCAACGCAAGTGCATTTTATACCCTGGATTGAGACTGCAATTGGTTCAATCAGACTACACTCATTTTTAAGGAATAATGTTAGAGATGATTTCCACTTTACTGGCTTACTTCTTAATGGAATTTCATGCAACAGCAAAATATACATTTCTGACAACTAACTTACAACAACGATCATAATCAGTAATTGTATACGCTACGGCTAGTAAATTATTCAGGATGTCACGAAATAGACAATAAGCGTTTTGAAATGGTAAAGAAGTAGCAGACAAGTTGCACTGGGTACAGACAATGATTTGTTAAGCGACGTAAGTTTGACAATTGCACGTGTAAAACGATCTAAGTACCTTCAGAGTGAAGGAGTAAAATAAACATTTCAAATGCGACAAAAATGAACATTCTTGCACTATGAGTATGAACGAGGACCGTAATTTTATATCCCTGCTCACGGTCAATCAAAAGTTATGCAACGACAGCATTTACTGACAAAACATTAGTTTTTAGTAGGTCTAGGGATAAAAAAATGTGCTTTTCACATACATGATTTCTGACTCATTTAGCAAGTGAGGGATATCTGCAGACAAGTGTATTCGCTTCAACCACATATTGTTATAAATAGAGCTTTCACGTTCTCTGAATTACAAGAACGTAAGAGGAGATATGATTCACACGAGTCAATCTGCTTATTTTTAAAACAAGTTTGATGGGCAGATGACATGCGAAGAAAAATACATTAATCAATTTCTATAATGAAATTTACTTAATTCTACATCGTTGGTGATTTGTCGTTGTCACCTATGGTTAAGATCACACATGCAGCAGAGTATCCAGCTCTTCTACAGCAACGATCTGGCGGCTAAAAATTATTTTTCTTACTTACATTAGGCAACGTGGAGTATAAGGGGTAGGATCATTTTTTCGTATCAACGACTGTACTCTTTGGTGATGTAACATGTGAAATCAAAAAAATGAAATCAATGCATGGCTTCTAGGAAATGCTCCAACTGTTCATCGTTTTACAAATAAAGACGGTTTTCCACGGTGACAGTTAAAATAATAAATTCCAGCTTTGGAGGATGAATCTCATGTGTAGGAATTAGCAGAAAACGGGCAAGACAGATTACATGAAAGCATTCAGATAATTTTAGATAGAAACAGAGACTTAAATGTTCATACACAATTAATATAACTTCCCTGTTAATGACGCAAGAAGCTTCGGACACTTCTCACACCGAGCAAGAAACTTCAGTTTTAATTTGCCAAATCAGTTGCTGCAGCAAAAAAACGGAAGGTATTGACCTGGAGGACAATATCCGATATGGAAAAACTGGCAGAGGTAGATCCGCTTTCAGAGAGGAATTGTTCCTTGTGGTGCTTTAGCGAATACACTCAACATCGCAAACAAGAAACTTTATGTTTATATAAACGGTAGAAGGAACTCTGAGATTTCTCCAGCATAATCTTAGAATTTCAGTACAACACTGACAGGATCATCAGAAACAAAATGCAAATGTAATAGCTATAAACACGGATCCATGCATCACTATAAGATTGGGTGCCCTTGGTTCTTCTTCCAACCGATGGTGACCACTGGAGAAATAATTTACAAACCAACTGTTGGTTCACTATTCAACAACGTCTTCTGTTAATCTCAGACGGTCGGTCTATCGCCAAGAACGTTATAAGTTAAAAAAATTAGCTTCCGATGGATTTTGTCTCCTTTGCGCCATATTTTATTAGTCATAGAGGTAATATTCTCAATAAGAATGTTCTAACTGTTAAATAATTGTCAATCTCTAGCGCATTATTTACATTCATGTCTTTAACAGGATTGGTATCCAGTGCCACACAGTGCGCCTAATGAAACGATTCTGACATCAAAGCAACTGACGGTAGTTGTCAGCTGTTCTGAATAAGTGATTGACGCCAAAGATAGTGGAAGATGTCTGCAATGACGTCGCACACTTCGAGCAATATTCCTTCGGCAGCAGACTGTCAGGCAATGAAGCAACAAGCAGATAACGCATACAATCAGATAGTGTAATCTTCTGTAAACTGCAAATGAGCCCGAAAACCAGTGCTTGATCATCATTAATCAACTTGCGATAAACTGGCAACAGTCTCAACATTTCAAAGTGATCGTAGTTAGGATTAAACAACATAAATTTTAAAAAAAATTGTTTTATTCTTGCTGGTCTTTCTTTACTTATAGCATAGTCTATACATGCCGTGTCAAACTAGAACGTAGCGAGATCTGAACTACATTCATAATCATTATTACCTGCAGCAACCCAGGAAAGCAATTTGAGCATTAAAATAGATATACCGTCATAATCAATCAACTGATAC